CCACCATTAATGGTGGGAAGTGGAACCAAATAATATATCTCATTAATTTAATTAAATAATATTTAATTAAATTAAACTTAAATTAATCAACTATATTAGAATTAAATTCTAATATCTATCTCTCTCATAATATTGAATCCAATTAAACATTAACTTTATATTATAATGTATCAACATACATAATATTAATTGCATCTCATACAATTAACCTTAATTCCCTTTAACCAATTTGTACAATTCAAATTCTTTTCAAAACTAAATGTTCTTAACTATCCTTTACGCGCTAGCAATGAGACCTAATGGACTTACAGATCGGAAGCTCCAACGATACAAGATTAATTGATTAAACTCATTTACCATATTAATCAACATTCGTTAACTATCGGTCACTCCACTAAAGACACACAATTGCATTCTTCTCACTGTAGAATATTTTGCGTCCATGGATTTTGACCATTAACGGTAAGTCAATCCTTCACGAGTGTTCGTAACCACAACTGGGTCAAATTATCATTTTACCCCTATGTTACATTTTGTACTTTAAGTACCGTTGATCCTCTAATGAACAACCTGGTTATGGTCCAACCAATAACCGGAAGTCCCTCTTGGGCCAGTGAGAGGGTGAGGCCCCTTGTTCAAGTCCCGGAGTTAGCACTTAAGAGAACAATCATTTACTTATCTTAAAGTCGGGAATGAGTGAATTTCATCTTGTGTAGTTATGTTCCTAGCTCCCCATTCAGTCTCGTCCCCAAAATGGTAGGAATATTGAGTCGGCGACTCGGGCCACTCTCACCCATACAAATCAAAGGACGAGCCCTAACAGACAGGAGTCCATAACTCATTCAGGATTGAGATCAAGTTATGTGATCATCCTATTGAAATATTAATCTATTAGCTAACGGTGTTACAGCTAAAGATTAATTATTTCGCGGCCCGGTCTTATACAAACTCATTGTATAGGATATCCCTACTTTCATGTCTCCACACAAACGACCTGGATCAAGTCATTTGTAGCTATTACAAAGTGGGTAGTATCCATAGTGTTACCAAGATAAGGTACCCAACCTTATCCATATACTATAGACCCTTTAGGTTACTACTGGAACATTATCCACCTATATATCGAATATATATATATATATATATATATATATATATATATATACACTGTATATCAAATATATACGTTGAATATTAAATATATATTGTATATCTGTTATATATTGTTCTAGTTACATGACATAACCTCAGATGTTAGTTTATTGGGTTTGACTTAATGCAATTCTATGAATAACAACTTTATTGAATGAATATTTGTTTTATGTTTACAAACCATGAGCTAAGGGCATAAAATCCAACATTACTGTTTGTCTATAATATTTCTTTTACTTTCAATACAAACCATCGATATTTTCTTGTTTTTACATTTTTGGTATTTGCGAGCATAGTTTAAAATATAATCCAAAGTCTCTGTGGATTCGACCTCGTTTCGTGCTACAATCGACAAAGTTTGTGTATACTTGCACGTGCTGTCAACATTTTTGTGTGGACACAACAAGCACTCATGAGGGATTGACTTGCCGTTAATAGTCGATATCCATGGACACAGAAATATTCTGTAGTGAGAAGAGTGCAGTTGAGGGTCTTTAGTGGAGTGACCCAAAGTTAACGAATGTTGATTAACTCAGTTAATGAGTTTGACCAATTAATCTCGTATCATTGGAGCTTTTGATCTGTAGGTCCATTAAGTCCCCTTACTAGCTAACAACAGGTAAAACGAGGATCAAGTTTCTTAGAAGAATTTGAAATGTTTAAATTACTCAAGGGATTATATATATATATATATGTAGTTAATTCTAAATTAAAACTATATATTATGAGAAAAATTATTTGAATGAGATTCAAATAAAAATTAATATGAATATGATTCATATTAAAACTATAGGTTAAAAGTAATGTGCATAAGATGTACATTACAACTATAGGTATATGAAAGAAGTGCTTTAGAATATGATTCTATTTTTTAAAATAAATAATTAATTGTTAATTATTTATTTGATTAATAAGATTAATTAATTATTATTATATATTAATTATTATTAATTATCAATATTAATTTTGTTAATATTAATATTAATTTAATTAAAACTCCTCTGCAAAATTGGAGGGGGTGGGAAGTTATTTTTGACGTGGGGTAACCCTTACATCATCGTTAGTTAATTACAGAACTGCTCTGCTCTATAATTTTAGGCTTCCCCTGCATTGTTCGTTAGGTGTGGTTCTCTCAAAAAGTTTTAAGAAAATTCCCTTGGTTTCCAAACAAGTGCTCACACAAGCAAGTTCTTCATTCCGTGAGGATAGTCGGGAAGATTCGGTGGTGGTGTTTGTTAGAGATTCATTAAAGAATTAGGTCTTCAAAAGTGAGTTCTCATCCCTTTTATTTTTCTCCTTGAATGTGCTGTATTTTTATCCTAAAAATTCAAGAACACGTTCGTCGTTTTCGCTGCGAGATTAACAGATCTTGATCGGCCTTCTTGTTTATCTTGATCGGCCTTGGGACTTGTTGATCTTGATCGGCCTTCTGGACTTGTTGATCTTGATCTTCTTTGGCTTTTCCTTATCTTTAGAGAGCAGAGATATTTTGATCCTATGTATGGAGAGAATTTTATCCTATGCAGGATTTTAATCCTTTCCATGATGAATTAGATGGTGAATGAACCCCTCCCTTTATAGGGTATTTCACGGGCTTGATTTGGACTTAGGCTCACCGAACCTCAAGGTGGAGACAGATACTAAAAATTTTCACAAGCACGAGAGTTGGGGAGAGCATCCTTACTCGCACTCTAAATTTTCTATCTCTAATATGTATTTTAAATTTTCTAACTTTTTAAAAACTAAAAACTAAAAATGTTTACCAAACATGTTTTGGTTTAAAAAAACAATAAATTGTTATTAAACATATATGGCTTTTGTTTTTTAAAAACAGAAAACCAAAAACCAAAAAACTAAAAACAAAAAAAAAATCAAAAACCAAAAACTAAAATGGTTATCAAACGAGTCCTTAGTAAACATCATTGATTCATTCACATTCTCGTCTCGTAAAGTAAATGGGGGATTTGGTTGGTTGGCAAAATCGTCTCTTAAAGACACGACTTTATTGTACAATATGCTAAAGTCATCTCACATATTGCTATTTGGGCAAGGTCGAAGAAAGCCTTTTGTTGCTGGGGCAAAATCGTCTCTTCAAAATAAAACTACAATATTTTAAAAATTGGTTTGAAAATAATTAAACCTTTTTACAATATTAAAAGAAATTGCATGCATCTCTATTTTAGTATAATATATGAGGTAGAGATCGAACTTACAATCTCTTCATGGAGATATATTCAAATTACTATTGAGTTATACTCGCTTTGACGAAATTTCATGACTTTTCCACTTATTATTCTAATTTAAATTACTTTTGTCCGTCAACTCTCTTTTTCTCTTCTTAATTCTATATTTAAAAATGATTAGAATGAAATTAGTGTATATTTTTAATTAATTATTAATTAACATAAATGGCTATATGCAACTAATTGTTAAAAAAAAAACTTCAACTCTATTGCAGGATATTTCAATTATGACATTTTTTAACTACATGGAGAGGGGAAATGAATTAAGAAGTAAAATACCTTAAATGTTTTTTTGTTATAGGTTTTCACTGTTGAACTAAGTTTATATTGGAATGTTGTGACATGTTATATATAATTTAGATTAAAAAATTACTTCGACTAAATTCATGTATAAATTATTATTATTATTATTATTATTATTATTATTATTATTATGAAGGAATTCATGTATAAAATTGAAATGGGCTAAACTGATATGTCAATCAAATTAATATAAAATGAAATTATTATCTCATTTATATTTAAAAAATATTACTATTTTCTGTTATTAATATTTTAAAAGTTCCACTTTCGTATCTAATTTTTCAAATTCTTTTCAATCAAATTGAAAATGTTTTATTTATTGGCATTATTTTTGGATTTCTTTCATAATCTCCTTAAGTATTAAATATTCATTTTTGGTATTTTTGTCTAATAGATTTATTTGAAATTCATGATATATTTGTTTGAGAGATTTATGGATTGATTGTTTTCCTTATCTCATTGCCTTTGATTTGGCTAGTCTTAATTCTGATTGATAAATTGAATATTTTCYATAATATGGTGAGTGGTTTTATTCTTTAAATATTGAAAGATGGTTTACCACAAAGGCATTGATACAACAGTATTTTTCTTACTTATCGATTGATCCAATTGTGTCTTTCTTGCTTGATCTTTTGTTGGTGAAAACCGAAAACAGATTATTTGTTCTCTTTTAGTTATATACATTGAGAACGTACTTTGATTGAAGACGACGAGCTCACAAACGGTTGTCGAACACACTGAATCTGACACAAGGGGAGCTTATGAACATAGATCGTCAAAGGGATTGGAGCAAGGGATTGCGGCATAAAAATAAAGAAGGGAGTTCTTTTAAATTTATGCGTAAGATAATATGTATTGTGTACTAATCTTTTGATAATCTATTTTAAATATCTGGGCGTGACCTCGTGGAGTAGGTTGTGAAACCGAACCACGTTAAAAATGTCGTGTGCTCATCTACCTTTTTAGCTTTCCATATTTTTAGTATTTTTACAAGTGAAATTAATTTTTATTTATACAATAGAAAAGTAAATTTGACATTTATCGTTATCATCCATCAAGTCATTAAATATCTTGGATAATTAGGTCGTTTCACAAATCTTTAATAACATCGTTAAAATTAAATATTAGAATGGGTAACATGGTTCGATTTTTCAATCAATGTTTGAACTAACTTTTTTATTTTAAAAAATAAAAATGAAAAGAGCCTAACTTTTTCATATCTTAAAAAAGGTAAAGAAATATAAATTATAAATATATAGAAGTTTACAATTTTAAGATAATAAATAAATAAATAAAGTCGAATTTCAATTGGAAACCTAGTTTAAATAGACATCTATTACTGATATTAATATCAATGATCGAATCTCTCGTTCCTATAATTATTAAACTAAAAAAAATGTCTGAATTTAAATTGGCTCTTCCAAAGGTTAAAGAGCCAATATCTTCATGTTGGATCAGATGGTAGTGCATCCTTCCCCATCCACCTTTTCATTCTTTCTGAGGTCTGTTCTACCTGAAAAAATAGATATATTTTAATCATTACAATCATCTTTTTTCTTTAGATGTCAAAAAATTCTAATAATAAAAAAGAAAAGTGATTTTTTATTGTACCATAAAAATATGATATATATGTCTCCATTAGTAGAATTATGTTCAAATTAGTATATTATGATTAACTTTTTTTTTCCTATCTTATAAATCATATTTTTATGTTATAAAACTAATTCGAAATACTTGATCTTTTGGTTGTAAATTGTATATCTAACTAGTTTTTTCAGAAATTATATACATGGTACACATAGGATAAGCGTTGTGTATGTCAATTTCCGTTAAAAAAAATAATGAGGTCAATCAAACTATTTTGAAAATTTTCTCATCAATTACAATTTTTCAAAACCATTCATGAAACTTTTTTCAATTTCTTTGTTGGACCAAATTCTCGTTTGAGCTTTTGGATTCTGTTACTATATCGATATTTATGTGCATCTCAAAAATCAATTTACAATTAAATGAATAATTTATTTATAAACTTTTGTTAGATTTTTTATCTTTCCAAACGTGAGATCGTTAAAAAAATGGTTAGCTAGTAACTATTTTACCCAACAAATAAAAGCAAAACTCACCTCCTTGTTCCAATTGGTTTTATAAACAATAAACAAGAGAATCATTGTCTGCAAGAATGTCCCACATATCATACCAATCCAAATTCCCTGCAAGAAAAGAAAAGAAAAAAATGTCCAAATATGATCACATCATTAAATGGGGGAAAATACAAAATTACAATTGAATAACCTTTTATTATATGAAGCTTTTGGTTTTTGAGAAAATATAAACATGTTTAACTAATTACCCCTCTTTTTCTTACTAGGAATTGAATTTTATTTTTTCCAAATAAACGGTCAATTCAATATATTTACAACTTTCACGACGATTTAGGGTTCGGTAATTAAACCATTAATAATATGAAATGGAGAGAATGATATTTAAATTTGAATTTAAATTTTCGTTCTTATATCATGTTAAATCATCACTAGACTCAAAAGAAATGTTTGCCTAGTGATTTTAAAATATTTTGGGTGATGTTGTATAACCTATGGTTGAATTGTAGGAGGAATAAATTATAGAAACATGGACCTTGCGGTAATTGATACGAAAGGTGGGCTTTATAAGCCTAAATTCATATTATAACATGAGTTTTCATGTAGTTCATGAGATTAACAGATTGTTGATTAGAATATGCAAACCTACCTACTAAATATAGGTTCGACTTCTTTTAATCTTTGATTATAAAAGCGTAATTCATGACCCGAACACTCCAAAACGATTAAATTTAATCTATGAGATCTAGGAAATGGTGGCTTTACCTCCACTCTTAAACTTGTTTTGTATCCAAGAAGAAACCCAAAAGGAAGGCCAACAACATAATAAGAAAACAAGTTAATGTAAGCCACCAAAGCTTGCCAACCTCCTCCAACAGCCACACCTGAAAATTTTGGCCATCAAAAAAATAATTAGGACAGATTACACGGTACCAACACAGGACATCCAGCTATGAGATCGTGTTAAGTTTATAGGTTATGACAAATTTAATGTTTTATATATATCTTAGCATTTCCCTCTCCACTCTTTCACATATATTATATTCTTACCTGATATCACTGGTTGAACGCTGTTGAGCACCATTGTTATACACAACAGGAAAGCTAAGCGAGAAACAGCCTCTTGCATTTCTTTGCTGTCGGTAAAGATGACCGCAAAGTAGTTTTTTGTCACCAGGATAATTGCTCCGAAAAAAAGCCCAATGCATAGCGATTGGACAATGGTGATAATGACGGAGTACTTTGCAGCTCTTGGATGCCCCAATCCAAGTTCGTTCGACACACGAACACTGAACAAAGAGAGTGAAAAAAAATCCAAGAAGGCTAGGGAGAATTTTGTTAGGGTTTTTGAAGTTCTAACCTTATGGCTGCATTGATTCCTATAAACAACATGCCTTCCCATCCATTTAGATTCATGCTAAAAAGATTTAAATATCACAAAGTTAGAAAGTTTTTTTGTAGCATTTTTCATTTCTACCTTTTAAAATTTAATTTTGACAAGTATATTGCCTTTGCTAATTGTTTATTATTTCTAAGGAAATAATTCTAAAATGATGCAGTTACATACAAATTTTGGAAAACAAAGTTAAATGTCATCTCCATGTTTTTAGCAAACATAAATAGAAGACCTTATTTTATGATTTTGAATTATCACTTGTTGCATAATGAATTATTTTTCATGCAAAATTTTAATTTTTTTAACCTCAAATTGAGTAAACAAGAAAGAAGAAATAGACATTAAATGCATTTATGATTTTAAATTAAAAAAAAAGATAATTATTAAATGCCTTTTTTTCTTTATCTTACTAAAAACAATAATAAATTAAATTAAAAAACAAACAAACAAAAAAACTAATATGACGTGTAATAAATTTCTGAATTATAAAAAATATATAATATATATAATAGATCGATGAATTTTTAGTTTTGTATCTAATTAAGTTTTGAAACTCTCAATTTTGTGTTTAAAAGATCATTGACTTATTTTTTTAAAGTTGAAAGAATTTATCAAACACAAAATTGAAGTTCGAACACATATTAAATATTTTTTCAAAGTTTTAGGAACTTATTAGACATAACATTAAGAATTTAAAGATCTCACCTTTTAAAGTTGGTTAAATTATAAATTTAATTCCTAAATTTTCTAGTTTGTGTTTAATAGATTCCTCAACTTTAAAAATATCTAATATATATATTTTTAACTTTCAATTTTGTGTCTAATAGGTCCATGACACTATATTTTTTAAAAATAATTGATCTATTTGACATAAAATTGAAATTTTTTGTCTAATAGGACCTTCAACTTCCAATTTTGTGTCCAATACATCTATGAATTTTATAAAATGTCAACTATGTCATGCATCTATTAGATCATACAAAATTGAAAATTTAACACAAAATTAAAAATTTAGGGACCCGTTAAACACAAAATTGAAAGTTTAATTACTTGTTAGATAGTTTTTAAAGTTCAAAGATATATAATTTAACCTTTAAAGTTTATAAATTTATTAAACACATAATTTAAAATTACTTAAATTACTATTTGGTCCCTAACTTTTGATAATGAATCTATTTAGTTCCTTATAGATTATTTAAAGTCTTAAAGATTTTGAAAAATAACCCTAAAAGTGAAGGACAGAAAAGAGATTAATCAAATATGGAAATTACCATATGGAGAGGGAACCCACAGCAATGATGGGGTCATCAAGATGTCCAGTAAGGACAATAATGGTCATAAAGTACCAGATCTCCAAGCACAGCATAACGGCCGAAGCAATGGAAAGCTTCACAAAATCCCACAAGTCCTTAAACGCCAGCCAAGACAGCCCCTTCCAGCACTCAGTACACCATCCTA